ATGTGAACGATATGCATGTATGTATATCCAGATAGATAGAAAGGATATAATCTATATGTAACTCCAACTCTTAACCTTTTAATGTAAATACTCCTCCACAAACACTTGTTTAAATATGAATGATGATAATAATACTATAAAAAAGAATTCGTCCCTATGCGTGCTTTATATAGTTTAAGTATTTTAAAAACGTACAAGATATTTTTCATCATCTACATATATAATTTTGTATAGCTATATGTATATATACTTTGAAATATATAGCAAATAACACGGTTGAAATTTATATCTTGTATTTGTTTAATACAAATAGATAGGATATATGTATAAGGTGGATGAGGATGTGTAAACTTGAAATAAGTAAATACTTTTAACACGTATATTTAATAGATACCCAGCAGAACTGGAAATTTAAACCCTTTATAGCTTAATATAAATACTACTGGTTACTTGCCCGCCTACTTGTAAGACTTTTAATTGGATAATTTCACTAATACATGTTATTGAGTCCCTGCTTATGAATTTTTGTATAGAGAAAATATTCCATTTGTAAGGTCTAAGAACTGCTGGGGTTTTAGCTATAAAATTATTATAAAGCCACACACGTACATGTATATTAAAACAAAAATTCAATGTAAAACATAAATCATAAAATTTAGTAGTGAAAATATTTAAAATATGTGATGTAATGAAATAGAATAAAGTTTGAATAGAACAAGTGATATGTTGACAAGGTATTGAATAAGTTTAACCTAAAATTGTATTCGAAAACTTTTCTTTAAGGGAAAAGTTTTAAATATCAAATACATCACAAATATTTGTGGGTTATAGGAAAATTTCGCTTTAAAATGTGTTGATGAATGTCATGAATTATAAAAATAGATTTCTAAAGAATTTTCTTCAGCTTTAAATTGTGGTATATTTAAAATGAAAATAATTATTTTTAAATATTCAAATGGATTATATTTGTTCTCATCATTGAAGTAGTCTATGGGCTTTTATATGATCAAGTATATAAAATATACTAGATAAGATACTATGACAAGGCTTTAATCTTCTAGTCAGCGATCTGTCAAACTAGTCTATGATCTATTGGATTGATCTATAATATAGTCTATATGATATGATCTATGATTTAGTATATATAATACTTTGTGCTCTAGTCTCTAAACCAACCTATAATCTAGCCTATAAACTGGTATAGTTGACGATCTAGTCTATAGACTATTTTATGATCTGTCGAACAGTTAATGATATATCTGATATATCTGCTGATGCCTGCCAAAATAATCTGTAATTTCATCTATAGACTATTCTACGATAAAGTCCACAATCTAGTTAATTTGACAAGTCAATCTTGGTCGGACAGTCCCGAACTCCCTATTTGACCTAGCACATAGGTTTACACCTAGCCACCAACTGTCCAGGTAACTAGTTGGCGAAGTGATATTAACATGTGCTTGTCCTACGAGGAAGTCAATCGTCACCCCATAGGTTACGAAGAGGCAGACAAGTGGTTTTTAAGTGTCCTCTCTCTCGCCTACAAAGGGGACAGTAAAGTGACGATTATCTTCACCCTCGTTTACAAAGAGTACATCCGTGACGAAAGACAAATTAAAGCCAACCAGGTGGTTAGACGTTAGTGGAAACCACAGTCTTTTTCGGGTGCATTGTCGAACTGCAGGGTAGTATATGAATTAGACTATAAACTAGTAAATTATCTTACGAACTAGATAATAATCTACAGAATTAGTCGATGAAACTTGAAAATATAGTAACAGACTTAACCTTTTTTAAAAGGTTAAAAACTAAGAATTCAACTTCTTTTTGTTTAATTTAAAAATTCAGGAAAAACATATTTTATTCATAACCAAACAAAATTAGTCTAAATTAAAATATTTCTTAATGAAAAAATGTATTAAATTCTTTGTGGCTGTTTAGTTTTCTTCCTACAAAGTTTTATTTCTTCCTATTTTTTTTTATAACGTTTACAACATACTCACGTTTAGGCATTTACAAACCATAAAAACATTTTTTCATAATAGTAAAAATTTATCAAAAACACATATGTTTTACCTCTTAAAAGCAAGAAAAAAATGCCCAAAAAAATGCAGAAAATTTTTTTCGAAAGTAAACATACGCTATATAGATGAGTAACAAAAATAGCACTTAACTTATATTCTAAGCTGTTTTTATGACCAAAATAAGAAAAAATTTTATTATATAGGAAACCTTGGTTTTGGCCCTTAAAAAGAAAACAAGAAAAAATATACAATGAAAAAAAAAAACAAGGAAAAACATCTAAGAAATATTGTATCTAATACTTATATTTATTTACAACATGCTTACCAACCCACATGAGGTATAAACACTGCTTTTTCTTTGCCACACGTCTTATTTTACTCACTTTTTGTTCCCCCAGAAGAACGAGAGGTTTTAACAAACATCAACCAAACAAACCGGCCAACATACATAAACTAACACATGTTTTAACTCTAATATTTACATACATACATATTTGGATTGGAGTTAGTTGTATGTATAGCTGTGTGTGTTTGTTTTTTTAACCTTATAATAATGTTGATATAATGGTGTTCTATCAAATATGATGCTTTTATTGAATTTTATGACCATCATCATCAACATCATCTCAAGCAACTCGATTCTAGCAACATTTTACAAAAAACAAATGGAAAGATGTGGAAAATAAAACAAAAAAAAAGAAAACAGTTTTTCAATAAAACTCTTCTAAGTAAGAGAGAGTTGGTCGGTTGGTTGTAAACACTTTGCCAAGTAAGCATTAAAAGCAACAAAAACAACAACAACAACATATAATAATAAAAAGTACCTAAAGAAAATACAATATATTAACAAACATTAAACAACAACTTAAAGCTTATAAAATGTGTTAAAAGGAACAAGTTTAAGGTTATCTGTGTTAAAGGTTTTTCGCTTTTGTTTTTTTTTTCTTTTTTGGAAAAAGGCCTGTTTTTAGATTGTGTGAGGATTTTAAACAGTAGTGTTTAAAGAAAGAGCAGACATGAATGGGTAATACAATGCTCAGACTGTCAAAAACTATACAAAAAGAAGTGGTTGGCAGGTTTTGCCTCAGCCGCCTTATAGTCCAGACCTTTTCCCATCCCACTTTTTATACCCTTCAGCACTTTAGTGGGAAGGGGTGTATTGGGTTTGTGCTGATGTTTGTAACGCATAATAATATTTCAGAGTCGACTTAGCTATATCCGCCCGTCTGTATGTATGTCTGTCTGTCTGTCTGTCTGTCTGTCTGTCTGTCTGTCTGTCTGTCTGTCTGTCTGTCCGTCTGTCTGTCTGTCTGTCTGTCTGTCTGTCTGTCTGTCTGTCTGTCTGTCTGTCTGTCTGTGTGTCTGTCTGTCCGTCCATGTAAACATTGTAATCAAACCACAGGTCGCATTTTTGAATATAATTCAATGAAATCAGTGACGAATCCTATTGAAAATGATTATGATCGGTCCATTATTTCACCTAGCTCCCATACAACTGAACCCTCGATAAGGGCTGTATGTCTGTCTGTCTGTCTGTCTGTCTGTCTGTCTGTCTGTCTGTCTGTCTGTCTGTCTGTCTGTCTGTCTGTCCGTCCATGTAAACCTTGTACTCAAAGTACAGGTCGCAATTTTGAAGATAATTCAATGAAATTTTGTACATGATCTTCTATTGTACTAAATCCTATTGAACATGGGTAACATCGGTCTAATATTTTTTAAAATACATTATGGTTAAGGATATATGAGAATATAACACTCTTGATGTTTGATACTAGTTTTCTTTCCTCTCCTGTTTAAAATATACATACTTATGTACATATGTTGAATTCCTGGTTTTCCTCATTTCCCATACCACAACAAAACGATCACAAAACAGAAAAATAAGTATTAAAAAGTAAATTTTAATAACATAATAATAAAAAATTATTATATTGTAGGAATGTGTGGGAATAAACAGAGGGGGCAAAGAGATTGTAAGGGCATCATAAAAAGGTGTATATTTTATATTAATTTTTTTTTTTTTGTTGACGTGTCCCTTTCTCCCACTACACATCGAGGCACTCATAAACTCAACATAAAATATTTCAGCCATTGGACATCTGTCTATTTTAACGAGTGTCTGACTGCTCAAGAGTAAGGGTACTAATATTGGGTTCATATGAGTTTTTAATACAAAAGAGTACACTTTGATTACTTTATAGAAAAATTGTTTTTCAAAAAAAAAAAAAAAAAAAAAAAAAAAAAAATACAACCATTAAAATATGACGCATTTTTTATATAATAAATATTTTCATGCATATTTTGTTGTTGGTTTTTTTTTATTTCTGCCTCCTGTTACAACAAATCGTTTTCATTTACAATATTATTATTTTTATTTGTTGTTTTTGTTGTTCTGTTCCTCACTGACGTTTATATTTACATTGTAAATATTTATGTTGTATAAATTTTTATTATTTTGTGAAAAAAAAAAAACATAACAAAAACAACAAAACTGACTACAAAATATAAACGTTAAATGTAATAAAAACATAAATATGAATGTATTTTTTGCGTTTTATGGTTGGTTTAAAATTTACAATCCACTAAAAATCTATAAAATACTTCACTCGTATGCTGGTTAATTTTATTAAAATTGGTTTTGTTGTTGTTGATTTGTTGAGTAAAAAGGCAAAAAAAAAAAAAATTATGGAAAATCTGGCGGAAAAGATTTAAATTTAATTTTTTTTGTAGTGTTTATTTATTTTCTTAAATTTTAATGCATCAGTTGTTTATGAAGAGTTAAAGTAAAATTTTCAAATTTATTATAGTTTTTTTTGTTATTTTTTGGGGGGGTAAATTGTTGAAAAAATTTAAATTTGTATTGTTTAATAAAAACAGTTTTACAATTTTTTTCTTATTTTTTAATAATTAAATTTCTCATAATATTACTAAACCACTATAACAAATTCTTTAATGTATTTTTTCTTTTTTTCTTAATTCCAGATAATTTATTTAATCTTCTTATGAAATTCTATGAAACGTAAGTACAATAAAAGCTATTTAATTTTCTATATAAATATTTGTTTTTTTGAAAACCATTACAAAATTAAAACTCCTTGAAAACTTCAACTCCTTCCCCTAACACTTTTATGCCAAAAAAAAAAAAAACTCTACACACATATTTGGCAAATGCAAATCCAGAATGTGAAAAAAAACCAAATATCATTTCATTTTAAAAACTACCACTTAAAATGTTTATGGGTTGATATCTTAGACACATGGACAGGTGCGCAACAGAAAAAAAAAACAACAAAATATTTTTATTTCACTTCATACACATGTTGCCACATCTTAGTATGTGCTGTATGTAAACTGCTTGTATCAATGACACACATGAAGTTTTGCTTTTGGACTTGCACTCTTAAAATGCTATGGATACTTTGAAACAATACATACTGAAGATAGACAGCTGGACGGACGGACGGACTGACAGACAAACAGCTACACAGCTTCTGTAGTCATTTATTACAAGAGTTTGTTGTTGTCTTCCTTTTTTACATTTAAATATTGCACATGAACAAGTGAACAATCATGGTGGGACAGACACAAAGACAATTTAATGCAATTTAAAGTTTATAAAATAAATTAAAATAAATAAAATATTTAAACGTTTAACAAATTTGAAATAATGAACAGCTGTTCCGGGGGAAGTGATATTAAAATTGTTTACTTTAATAATGTGTTATTTGCATTTGAAAAACATTAAAAAAGTTATCTATGATTAGTGTATTGGTTTCCCTAAATTATATGCCACCAAAAAGGAAATACAAAGTCTATATTGAGCAAATCGAGCGCGTATAGATGAGGACTAACCTAATAATCGGAGACTGTTAGGTATCTTACTCTATTGATTCAATGGATCACTGTCACAATGTGAAAAGTATTTCACTCGCATATAGGTGAGGACTAACCTAATAATCGGAGACTGTTAGGTATCTTACTCTATTGATTCAATGGATCACTGTCACAATGTGAAAAGTATTTCACTGTTCTAGTTAAGGTCCAAAAATGTTATTCAAAACAAATACCAAAGCAAGCATTACTTGCGATTGAAAAGCATAGCAGATCATGTTTGAAGTACTACCAACCAGTCGATATAACCTAAAAACCAAATATCCATGGCGATATTTTATGGGCTTAAATCTAGCCAGACAATCATACGGAACCGAATTAAAATGGTTCGAAATCGCCCAAAAAAAAAAAAACAGTCAGACATGAACGTGTAGTATTTCATTATAAGGAGTGGTTGGTGATTTTTTGCATCAGCTGCCTTATAGTCCAGATCTTGTTCCGTAGGACTACTTTTATATTCAATAAATTTGTTTCAATGCAGAACGCTCTCTTGGATTATTTGTGGGCTTAAATCTAGACAGACACTCATATGGAACCGAATTTAAAAGGTTCGAAATCGCCCAAAAAGCAGCCAGACATGAACGTGTAGTATTCCATTATAACAACGTTCAGCCTATTAAAAGCTATTTAGAAAGAAGTGGTTGGTGAATTTTTGCCTCAGCTGCTTTATAGTCCAGACCTTGTTCCGTAGGACTACTATTATATTCGTATAATTTGTTTCAATGCAAAACGCTCTCTCTCTCTGATACGCTTCACATAAGAACAATCTATACGAAATTGGTTCATTTAGTTCTTGGCCTCTAAAGATGAGCAGTTCTTTTGGCTTGGAATGCATGCAAATTTAATAATAATATATAAAATGTAATTTTCCGATCCTATATATACTTTATTCTGGATCTCTGTAGGTTAAGCTATGTCTATCTGTTCGTCCGTCTGTCTGCATTTTTGAAAAAGACCAGGTTTGATTTCCATAAGAAGCTTTAATTATGTTTCACTACAGCAGTAATATCCAAATAAATTATAGACCTCTGGAGATATCGAAGTCTATCTAGAAATGTCTGTCATTTTTTCTTAAACAACTTCTCACAAATCTTGAACCTGTAATAATTTATAAGAATACCCTAAATTTTTCATTACAGCGAATATATAATAATTGATATCTTGCTCAATAAATTGATTTAGATCAAAAATAAATTATGGATTTCATTGAAGTCAACTTAGCGCTATCCGTCCAACATACAAATTATCAAAAACTTGTAATCTTGGATAATCTAGAAGATAACGTTCTTAATTTTTGTGAAAATGAACAATTTGTTTGTAACTCGGTTAAGGCCTCCGGTATGTTAGTGGTGGGTTCGATTCCCAAGGTGGTGGGTTCGATTCCCAACTGAGGCACTGGCCCATCCGTCCATCATACAAATTAACAAAAATATGTAATCTTGGATAATCTAGAAGATTATGTTCATAATTTTTGTGAAAATGAAAAATTCGTTTGTAACTCGGTTAAGGCCTCCGGTAGGTTAGTAGTTAGTGTTCTAGTCTGGTAGACCGGAGGTGGTGGGTTCGATTCCCAACTGAGGCACTGGTAATGGAGCGCACAACAGGCCCGATAGAGGCCTAGGTGTATTTCATCGGATTTGATTTGATGTATATACATCCTCCTTTCAAACTAACTAACCTAACTAACTCGGTTAAAGAACTAAAGGGCTCTAAACATTTTCAATAATTTTCTTTATCACTTAGGTTTGCTTGGTATTTCATGATAATGAAATTATAAAATTTATTTTATGAATTCTGAAATCATTGGTATAAGTATGATTAAAATTTTTTAAAATTTGACTCTTGTTTCTATACAAGGTTCCATACAGAAATGCAGAAACGGTTACATTCATAACTGGCTTCAAAGCTATAAAATTGTAGCAAAAACTTCATAACATGATTTTCTCACCTAATTAAAGACATTCCTTTCCATTAAAACTACTGTTTTCCTTTACAAAGTAAAAGTAATCACCAGATGCCAGCTTAATAAGCATAGTAAATTAAATTTAATATCAATGTTTATACCTATTTATAAGAAGAAAGAATCTAAAACAAGTGTCACAGACGAGAAGCCATAGCTATAGAAGATTAAATACCTTTTACTCATCATTATCGCCATTAACATATTAATGGGCTTGTGTATATCCCCCTGCATGTTTTTTTCTACATCCATTGATGCAATATAAATTATGCATATGGTTGTTAAACTATTTACAAAATAAATGAAAAAAGAAATAATCTCTAGTTACCACAAAAAAAAAAAAAACTACTGAATTCTGTATCTTATTATAATTAAACGAATTTATGAAATGCTGCAGAGTTAGGCTTTTATAAATTTTCTTTAACCAAAAACAGCTGCAGCTTTTTTTTTTGTTGTTGCAACTAACACTTAAACTAAATACTCATGCACTCTTGTATGTGTTTATATCTCTGCCACATATCTTCCTTTTGGCAAAGGTGTGTGCATCAACAGCATTTAAACGCTTTGAAGCACAAACGATTGACAGCATATGAGGCGTAAAGTCTCACTTCCTTTAATTTTTTTCCTACTTTTTCCAACTACAAATACTTTGTGTTTCTATATGAGCTTGAGTGTGTGTGTGTGTGTGTGTGTTAAAAATGTGTAGAATTTTTATAAAAATAAATGTACGTTTTTATAGCATTTTTAGTTTAATTTTATATACTTGTACTTATTTTTTATGTTGTTTATGAAGTTGCAACAAGTTTTTAATGAGTTCACATGTTAATTATGTAGATTTTTATTTTCTTTTTTATATATTTTTTCTCCTTATTTAAATATGTTCTTGCTTTCGGCTTAAATTATTGTAGAAAAATAAGAAATTGCTCATCGAAAAGCAACAAAAGTTTGCACAAAGGTATAAGAAAGAAAAAAAAAATAATGTGATATAAATTGCATATAAGCCCTGTATTTTTAAAGTGTATGTATTTTATATTTGACAAGTGTCTAGAAGTAGTGAAGAACTCTTTGCTTAACTCTGATCTAGAAAAGTTACCCAAAAGATAATAACAAATAAGCTTTCCGACTGCATTTGTTTGTTTCTTAAACATGTGTGTGCTTACGTATATATGTCTGAAAGCCATAGAGCAAGAACTACATAAGAGAGCTCTTTGCACATCCCTGCTCTAAAACCAGCAAAAGTAATTAATTTCAACATTGGGTAGGGAGCCACACAATCACAACTGCAGGGACGACTTCACATTTATGCACCTATGTATGTGTGTAAATGTGTACTAAAGAACAGGAAGAAACATATTATTCATTGGTGGAAAAATATATTGCAGAATGAAACGAAAGTAGTCTTTAGAAACGCAAAGGAATTTAAAAAATGTTGGGAAAAAACTTCAAACAGTATTAAGGTGATGTGTTGATGACACATTAGGGAAATTCCTGGAAATAGAAGAAAATTTACATGAACAATTGCAACAAATTATTAAATATTGCAATTATAATTAAAAGACATGAAATTACAGTCAAGGATGTTTGACTCTTATTAATAAGTAATATGTTTAAGAGATTTTTAAATCTTAACTATTGAAATGAGACAATTATCATTAATATACATGGCGCAAAGTGGACCGGTCACAACTATATATATATTATTGAATATTGTCCAGAACGTAGACTGGGCTACAGTTTAGTCTATAGTCTTGATTGTGGTTTAATCTAATCTATTGGCTAGAGCTTTAACTTAAGTAAGTTTATTGGATTGTTGTACAACATTTTGAACCGATCATGAAAATGTGTGAGGTATGCAAAGATATTGGTCTAAAATGTATTACAAAGGAATCTGAATATAATCATAATTTTCTTTATAATATTTATTACTCCGGTATAAAATTCATACTTCTAATAATTATTATATTTTCGTGGGTGTTTCACAACATTTTTCGAAGTGTAACCAATAATATGCCTTAGCATATTTAATTGAACATGTCAGGAAATAAAAAAAATCTCATTAATTAAAATTAAACATTTAATTTTCTAATGTTTGCATAAAACAAGACTTTGATTTGATGGTTTTATTTTTGTCTCCTTTTTTCTACGCGCAGACACTCCCTATAAATAAT